GCTTTCCCGACGAATCGCCACTTAGAGGGCTTATTGACCTGCTTGTTCCTATAGTCGGAAACTACTTCAAGCAATTGACTGCATCATGGCCCCTCATTGGTGAATTCATATCTTTCGATGGATAATTCGTCGAGTGAGGATCAAGATATGATCACTTTATTACAATGGAACTGTCGTAGTTTAATACCTAAATTAGACTCGTTCAAGTATTTGATTCACAATTCTGATTGTGATATATTTGCACTCTGTGAAACTTGGCTTTCTTCTGAAGATGAACTAAACTTCTACGATTTTAACATTATTCGCCTGGACCGAGATGATTCATATGGTGGCGTACTTTTGGGGATCAAAAAGTGCTACCCCTTCTATAAAATCTCAATCCCAATAATTTCAGGCATTGAAATTGTCGCTTGCCAAATAAATGTGAAGAACAAAGATCTTTGCATAGCTTCTGTATATGTCCCTCCAAGGACTTCCATAAACCGCCGTCAGCTTTGGAGTTCAGTTAATATCCTTCCATCTCCAGTTCTAATACTGGGCGATATGAACTCACACGGTACTGGTTGGGGCGAATCATACGATGACAATAGAGCGGGTATTTTCTATGATTTGTGCGACGATTTCAACTTGACTATCTTGAACACTGGTGAAGCAACACGTATAGCAAACCCTCCTGCTCGAGAGAGCCGTCTTGACATTTCTTTGTGCTCTAACTCACTATCATTAGATTGTCTGTGGAAGGTTATCAATGATCCCCATGGTAGTGATCACTTGCCAATTATTATTTCAATCAAAAGTGGTCGTCTAAAAACAGATCAGTCAATTCAAGTTCCTTTTGACCTCACGAGGAACATTGATTGGCAAAAATTTGTATCGGCGGTAACTCTTGGTATTGATTCTACCGATCCTCTACCACCACTGGAAGAGTATCGTTTCTTTACCGAGCTAATCTACAAAAGCGCATTAGAAGCTCAGAAACGACGTGTTCCAAGTGCATCGCTCAAAAGAAGACCCGCCACCCCTGGATGGGATGACGAATGCACAAAGTTGTATCTTGAGAAATCCGATGCCTTTAAAGATTATCGTAGACATGAAAGATCTGAGCTTTTTGAAAAGTATCTAAAGCTTGAAAAAAAGCTTAAAAACTTACTAAAAGCAAAGAAACGAAATTACTGGCGTACTTTTATCGAGGGACTTTCTAGAGAAACCTCGATGACAACGCTTTGGAAAAAGGCTCGCTATATGCGAAACCGCTCATCTTCCAATGAGAGTGAAGAATACTCCTCCCAATGGATATTCGACTTCGCTAAAAAGGTTTGTCCAGATTCTGTTCCAGCACAACCAACTTTACGGGATACAGCCCGAAGTAACGGTTCTCTGGATGAACCATTTACAATGCTGGAATTTTCAATGGCACTTCTTTCATCAAATAACTCTGCTCCGGGAAGCGATATGATCAAATTTGACCTTCTAAAAAACCTCCCCGATATCGCTAAAAGACGATTACTTAACCTATATAATTCATTTATGGAATTCAATATAGTTCCACCAGCATGGAGACAGGTTAAAGTAATAGCTATTCAAAAGCCTGGGAAACCAGCGTCTGATCACAATTCTTACCGTCCGATCTCTATGTTATCATGCCTGAGGAAATTATTAGAAAAAATGATCCTATTAAGACTTGACCATTGGGTTGAATCAAACAATCTACTTTCAAATACGCAATTTGGTTTCCGGAAGAGTAAAGGAACAAACGATTGTCTAGCGATGCTTTCATCTGATATTCAACTGGCCTTTGCGCACAAGGAGCAATTGGCTTCAGTCTTTTTGGATATTAAGGGCGCATTTGATTCGGTTTCCATAGACATACTGTCAGACAATTTGCACAGTAGTGGATTACCCGGTATTTTGAATAATTTTTTGTATAATTTGCTGTCAGAAAAACAAATGACCTTCAATCTAGGTCAACTGACAACTTCTAGAATTAGCTACATGGGCTTACCCCAAGGTTCATGTTTAAGTCCCTTACTTTATAATTTCTATGTCAAAGATATTGATAACTGCTTAGATAATCAATGCACGCTTAGACAGCTTGCAGATGATGCCGTGGTTTCCATGAGAGGTCCACGTGCAGAAATCTTGCAAAGACCATTGCAAAATTCCCTAAATAATCTGTCTCTCTGGGCAAGACATTTAGGGATCGAGTTTTCACCGCAAAAAACTGAATTGGTAGTGTTTACAAGGAAGCGGTTTCCAGCCCAACTGCGTCTAAACATTACCATTACCATTACCCAATCTTTAACCTTCAAATACCTTGGAGTCTGGTTTGATTCAAAATGCACTTGGGGTACCCACATTACGTATTTGAAACAAAAGTGTCAACAAAGGATCAACTTTCTACGATCAATTTCCGGGACATGGTGGGGTGCTCACCCGGAAGACCTCATTAAACTATATAAAACGACTATTCTTTCAGTTCTTGAGTATGGCTCTTTTTGCTTCCACTCGGCAAGAAAAAGCCACCTAATCAAATTGGAACGTATTCAATATCGTTGTTTACGTATTGCCCTTGGCTGTATGCATTCAACACACAATATGAGCCTAGAGGTCCTAGCGGGCGTAAAACCCCTGCAGAACCGATTCTGGGAGCTCTCATTAAGAATATTGATTAAATGTAGTGTCAGTAACAACCTTGTGATTGAAAACTTCGAAGAAATGCTCGAATTGAGCATCCAGTCTAGATTCGTGCGAATCTATCTTAATTATATGTCATCGGATATTAGCCTTCCTTGCTATACCCCCTCTCGTGTATGCTTTACTAACTACAGTTCCCCCATTGACTACGATCTCTCCATGAAACAGGCTATTCAAGGAGTTCCAGATCAACTTCGACCTATCTCAATTCCCCACATTTTTGCTGAAAAGTACCAACAAGTCAATTGCAATAGAAGATTTTTCACTGATGGATCACGCATTGATGGATCCACTGGCTTCGGCGTCTTCAATGAATACTCAACCGCCTTTCGGAAACTTCAGGAACCTTGTTCCGTTTATGTTGCTGAGCTAGCAGCAATTAACTTCGCATTGGGGATGATTTCCGATATGCCCATAGACCATTACTTCATCTTCTCGGATAGTCTCAGTTCGATTGAGGCTATTCGGTCGATGAAACAAGGTAGGCACTCATCTTATTTCCTTTCAAAGGTAAGGGAGCAGATGTGTGTGCTGGTCGAAAGATCATATATGATTACCTTTGTATGGGTCCCCTCACATTGCTCAATCCCAGGCAATGAGAAGGCAGACTCTCTCGCAAAGGTGGGCGCACAACAAGGCGAGATTTATGATAGAAGAATTTCACATGATGAATTTTTCCCATTAGTACGTCAGAGTTCTCTTTTAAGTTGGCAAAACGATTGGACAAATAATTCTCTTGGGCGGTGGTTACATTCCATTATTCCAAATATTTCTTCGAGAGCGTGGTTCAAAGGTCTGGATGTAAGTCGGGGATTCATTCGAGTGATGTCAAGACTTATGTCCAACCACTACTCGCTAGACGCACATCTCTATAGAATAAACCTCGTTGACAGCAATATATGTAGGTGCAGAACCGGTTATGATGACATCGATCACGCAGTTTGGTATTGCCCGGGTAATGACGCCTCCAGAGCACGACTATTGGATACCCTAGTGGCCCGAGGTAGACAACCCTTCCGTGAAGTAAGAGATGTATTGGGAACACGTGATCTTCCCTACATGCAAGCGATCTACGAATTCCTTTGTTTGTCTGATGTTAGAGTTTGATGTGACTATCCCCTCCTTTCCTAACAATTTCCCGCCATTGTGTCCCAGTCTTATTATCCTCCTGTTCCTGTGCTACTTGCCCCTGCCCAGTCAGGATTTGGTCAACCGTCCGAGAGTAGTATCTGAAGGAGGCTTCAGAAACCAGTTTCCTACCTAGATCCTTCCAATTGAAATTGTTACCCATTAACCTCGAGCCCGCCACGAGTAATTGGTACCCAATACTAACCTAGAAATACTGCTATTTAAAATGTAAATCAAACATTACTGATTTTGGCTCCGCAAAGTGTCACACACGACTGAGCCTAGTAAATAAACGAACTAGTTAAAAAAAAAAAAATTTGCAAGGTCATTTTAGCGTCAAAAGTTGGCCCGGAGCCAGTTTTCTTATCCCATTTCATTTATTTTGTTGTAATGCTTCTTCATCGTATGGTACCGCTCATTCATATCGATTAGCCTTTCATTGTCTTTAGACCATTGTGGCACTGTTTGAATGTATGGTTTTAGCGTTTTAAAGCCCTTTTTGAAATTTTAAGGTAATTTTGACCATTCAACATCTGTTTTCAGTATTCGTGGGTCGCGAACTAATAATATTTCTTAAAGTGGGTCACAATAAAAAAAAATTGAGAATCACTGCATCAAAGTAAACATGCATCTACGTATGAATAACAATAATGTGAATCAGAATGCTCAAAATTACACTTTTTGTTGCCCGGAGAATATTTGTCACTAACGAAAAATGAATGAGATTGTTAAAAATAAGCTTTGTAAATATCGCGTAGAATCATTAAATGACACTGACCAAACTCAGCACTGGCTACAACTTTCATCTGTCTCTTATCATATTAAAGAAAAAAAATAAGTTCTGATGGGTTACAACGACAAGACAGCTGCAAACTGCCAAGGCATCCCTGTATCGAGTATCCTAACCCTACAAGCTTTACCAAGAATTCCAAACAGCGACGATCCATCGGAACACTCAAAAGTGCTCCCATTCCAAATAACCATCGCTCCCACGGCTCCAAAAAAAAAAACAGGAAAGATAATCTTTCATCCCAACCCATCTCCGTCATTGACAGTCTGAACACTCTTTCGCGGAAACACAAAATTGCTGTTGGAAATTAATCCCCATCCCCACCCAAGCTTAACCCGGCTTCCCACCGTCCAATGCTGTATCTCTAACGAGCAATACGATTGCGTACCTTTTGCGCCTAGCAGCAGCTGTTTTCTGTTTCCTTTAACTTTGCAGTAAGCCTCAGGATGTGGCTTCCAAGCTTGATGCTGCTGGTGTTGTCGTTAATTTTCCTAGGCACAAACTCGTTCTCCCCGGTTTCTCTGTAAGCTCACACGCCTTTGGGGTTTGAAACTGCTGCTGCTGCTGCTATCTAGCCCCTAGGCCGTTGTCGAAGTCGTTTTCAACTCTGACACCGTGCACCACCGGGGTTGCACTTTTATCTTGCTCACTTTTTGTAGCTTTTCGCACTTTTTTTTTATTTTATTTTATTTCGAGAAAGATGCTTCAACAATGCACGGAATTGGGTTAAACACACTCACACAGCAAACACCCCAACAAACAGCAAACGACGACGACGACGATGATGATGATGATAATGATGATGCTTTTACTGCTGCTATTCTTCAGCAGCAAAGCTGCTCCCTTTTAATGGTGGATAAACACAATTTTGCACAAGCTGCCTTGGCTCACACCATTATTTCTTCTTTTATTTTCCGAGGAAAGCTGGATGGGTTGGGGTTTCCCGCAAGCACAATTTGCACACGAAACACACGAGATACAAGCACCACCGGGGTAGCACTTTTGTGTACACGGAAATTCGACTCCTAGCGTACAGGACGAGGTGTTCACTGAGCCATGAAACCACCTCCTAATTCTGCTAATGCCTGCCAGCAGACCCACAAACACACTAGCACACTTCGAGGAACGATCCCTAAAGTGCCTCTGAAAATGGAGATTTTACTGCCAGACCGACGAATCGATTCTTGAAAATTTAATCCAATAATTGAATTACTTCCAGCAGTCAGCAAAACCTGTATAATCCGAGTTTTCGTCACTTGAAGCGTGATTCGTTTATTCACTTTTCTTCCCACTCACTGGCGTCAATCGTCGGAGAGCAGTTGAGAGGTTTAAGAACGATATTCCGATGGCGATAGGCTGGTTAACGAGAAATTCGGCGCGTTGCCGGCGACGTTGTCATCGGATAAAGCACCTTGGGCGCCCCTTCAACACACCGTCTGTCTACACGTGGATGAAGCCTTCTACTGATATACTGGCTATGGGTTCCGCCAACTGAAATATCTTGTGCCACCCAGGAATCGAGAAATCGAGCTTCGACAACTCTGATTGTGCTTTTGCTCTTCTATTCTTACACTGCGTTTTCCTGCTCACTGAGTCTGAATGGCTGAAAGCCTCGGGCCACCCACAAGCGCTATTGTGTAGCTTCGAAATTGAAAAACCGTATCTTCGCCGAAGCACACGACACCTCGGTCGGTCTGGATGGATTCACCTTCTTCGACTTGAATGGATTTCTTTGTCAATTTTCGCCTCCCGTCTTCCGCGTACCACCGGCACTGCACTCGCGTTGTCTGTTGGAACTAAGGAACATTCGATTCCGGTGGATTCGTCAAATTGCCAATTTAATATATTTATTTTATCTCATTCGATTTATAACCATCTCCCAGGAAATGAAAATATCTAACGGTCGTCGCTGGTGGATGATGCTTCCGTGCAACCACTACTGCACAATACCCATCACACTTGACTCGGTGCCACCTGACGTGGGAGATACGTATTCGGTGGGTGGTTTTCCCCACCCACTGCGAAAACCGCTAGAAGCTGACACTGCCTCTGCCGTTTCCGCAATCCGGCACTTGCTCGGTGATTCCGATTCCTATCTCAACAAAAACATTCAACCCCCTGAACGATTTCCGACCTCCGAAAAATCCAAATGAGCTCCTGCCAATTTCACAGTACTAGCGAACAAAATCGAAATCAGCTTTCAGCTGAAATCTCCGAATGCACAATAATTATCCACGATACGCTCGGGCACAGAGAAATGCACTCGGTTCGAACCAGGCTTTGGGCGTAATTCCGCAAAAATCCAAACGTCACAGAATCCGGCGAATAACTGAGTCCAATGAGGAAAAACGCTGGATGCTGGAAAACTCCACAGGCTCACTGTGGTTCCTCGTGCCTGGCTACCTTCGGTGCCCGTTCGGCTGCTTCGCTGGAACGATAGGTGAGCATGCGCGGCGACCCGTTAACCCCCCTAGAGCCTTTCCCCTGAAGAAGGCGACACGAACAGGCTTCCAAGCAGACCCAGAACTGGACTGGAACGTCACTTCACTGGCGAAAGCTGTGTGGAGCGCATTGGTAAAATAACCGGAGGACAGTTGGAATGGTAAGTTGATGAACTTCAATAGGTACATCCGTGGTCGGCGATGGATGGAACAGATGAAAGGAAAATAAACGGCGATCCCTTAGCGAAACATGTGTACCGGTTGCGTATCCAAATGCACTTCCGTTTGAACCGTGATGTTGAACTGGAGGCGTGGCTGTTGTGCAACAAGCGTAGTTAATGTATTTTCAATTAGGAGTTCAAATGAAAATGAAGTGCAGTTGAAAAAGTCAATCATAAAGTGAGCAGCTGCATGAATCATCCCTCGGTGTATCTTGTTGATAGGACATAAAATGGTGATCGCAAGTTATTAACCTGCTGAACTTGGCTAACGTATAAATATAGATAACGACGAATCAGATTTTTACGCTGCCTGAAATCCATGGTAAATTCCAGGAATACAACTGCATTGGTTCAAAAGTATGATGATGATGGTCCCACCTCTTACCCCTACAAAGGTTTGAGCTGGACGATTTATCTTTAAGATACTTAAATATGACATTTTAACCAGGTTGGCAAACAAAATCGAACTGGTTTCAGTTACAGATATAAATTTCCTCTAGAGTTTACAGTTGCTTCACAGCGATATAAATGTGGAAAAGCTCAGGCGTCCACCTCTTAGTTCGCCTTTTTGTCCACCTAAAATATTTATAAGTATTACAAGCAATCAAGAGTTAATGAACAATCAACAAAGCATCCTATTACACTAATAACCCCGCAATCTGATACTATCATAATTTTCAGCAATGTCAGGAATGCTCACGAACCCCCAACATTTGCCAGAAAACTAACTACTAACTTAAGGTATCTTCCAAATAAGCTTCAAAATTGGATTTTTTTTTTATCAAATGTTAAATTCAGTCCTCTATATCCGTAATACGCGCGTGAGGCTCAAACCTTTGTAGACAATTTTTTTTTTGCTACTACTATTAAATCAAATATCAAAAATCCATCATCACCATCGTGGCGAACAAAATAGTTTTTGCAGTGCTGCAATAATTACACTAGTTTACAGCATTTTTGAACTCGGTAAGGTGATGATCATTTCCAATGCAAAATCCTACGCTGAATTCAATGCCGTGGTCAGAAAAAATTAAAGTAGAGCCATTTTTGAGATATACAAAAATTTTGATTTTTTGAATTTTGGACAAAAGTACGATTACTAAAATGTCAATATCTTTGGAACTAGTGCACCAATTTTAAATCTTTTTTTATGAAAATGAAGCTAAATAAATTTGCTATGGTTCACTAGAATATTATGTCTTAATTAAAAATATAATTTTGAAGTCATTTAAAAATTTACAGCATTTTTTTTATTTTTCCTGCGAATTTTCCATAAAAATATTGTTTTAATCAACATTTTTAATGGGATAAAAATATTCAAAAAATCATTCCATAATTTATTCTTAAAGTCCATTCAAAACCGGAGAAAATGAGCATTTAATGGATGAAATCGGTTTGAAATTGTCGAAGTTATGAGCATTTTTTTTCAAGCGTGATGCCAGCAATTCGGATTTTTCCTTCGATAAGTCGAGATCTCGCACCAAATCATTAAATTCGGATTGTGTAAACAGTTTTGGGTTTCTTTCCAATTCCACCTCGAAGTCTTCCTCGCATTCCTCCTTGAATTCCTCCTCACTTTTTGTAACGGTCGATTCAACAGAGGGCGCTCGTTTCCGCTTTGGATAAACAGGATACGGGACCGAACTTGAATGTGGAACAGGTTTTGTCATAGAAGCCACTTGTGGATACTCAACTGTTTTGTGACGTCCTTGTTGCTTAACTTTTGTCAAGCAGAAATAACAATCCGTTGCATGACAAAACGGTCGACGCCATATGGTGGGCATGTCAAAGGACAAATAGCGACTGACAGATAACAAATAAGTGAGTTAGTAAGTAAGACATTAACACTTATCAAAAATAGATGAAGTAAGATAATGTCGATCAGGAAAGAACAAAGCACTACCATGCTGTACATAAATTGTTTATATGAAAGTTATTCAAAAAATCAATTTACCTTGCGCCTGACATCCACCTAGCAAAGCACGTTTTGCACGAACCACATAATACTTTTGGAATCCACGGTTCGTCAAAGTCTCCAGGATCAATTTTAAAATAAAGCCTGTATGCAGTTTGCAACGAAGCAGTGAAATTGACCGATTTTGTAAATATATAGTTGCCACACGCGTAACAAAACTTTTGAGGATCATTTTTACACTTGAATTCACGTTTTGTCGTATACATTGTTAAGCAATGTTAAAGAAAGAAAACTGTCAGATTGAGTTGGTTGCGTTAGGTTCTCGCCGAGCGGTCTCACAAACACTAGCGTAAATTATATTGTTGAAAATATCCCATTTAATTTTGCGTGACAGCTGGTAGTGTTAGTGAAATGCACCGTATGCGTACACGTCCACAGAAAGGCTAACTGGAAGTGGTGCATGAACCTAGGAGCGGGACAACGGCCAATCTTGGAACATTCAATTTCCATGATTTTACAAAAAATTTCATAACTTCGACAATTTCCAACCGATTTCATCCATTAAAGGCTCACTTTCTCCAATTTTTAATGGACTTTAAGAATAAATTATGGAATGATTTTTTGAATCTTTTTATCCCATTAAAAATGTTGATTAAAACAAGATTTTTATGGAAAATTCGCAGAAAAAAAAAAAAAAAATGCTGTAAATTTTTAAATGACTTCAAAATTAAATTTTCAATTAAGACATAATATTCTAGTGAACGATAGCAAATTTATTTAGCTTCATTTTCATAAAAAAAGATTAAAAATTGGTGCACTAGTTTCAAAGATATTGACATTTTAGTAATCGTACTTTTGTCCAAAATTCAAAAAATCAAAATTTTTGTATATCTCAAAAATGGCTCTACTTTAATTTTTTCTGACCACGGCATTGAATTCAGCGTAGGATTTTGCATTAGAAACGTTGGTCAACCACTAAAGTTCACACTTTTTATGTTGTTTTGTAAACTAGTGTTATTAAAAAGTCACTATAACAGCTATCCATACAAAATAATCCGTTAAAAATAACTTCGTCAAGATACATAATTTGTCAATTCATAAAAAAATCACTGGATAACCATTCAAACGACAGTTTAAACGTGTGAAATGCAATGTCTCTTAAATTCTGCTAATGTTGTTGCACGGTTAATGTGTCTAGGCATCGAATTAAAAACATTTATAAAAAATAATGAATTCTGTGAACCACAAGTCAAGAAATGTGGTGTTCTTATTTCATCCGCGTTTCTAGTATTATATCTATGATAGTCACTTCCTCTTTCAATTCGATCACACAAATATCGAGGCAGCAAACCATTAACTACTTTAAAAATGAACACCATAGTCAAATATACAATTCTTTGCTTCACCGACAACTATTGTAAGGCGTCTAGCATCAAAGTTGAGGAAGTGAATCTATTACATCTCAAAATCAAACGCATTATTTCATTCGGCAAGTGCTGTAATCTCGATGTTTGTGTTGCATTGGACAGAAATAAAACGGATGGGCAAAAGTCTAGATGAGGAGAGATGATTGATTTGTATAGCTGTATTTTACTGGCAATAGTTAAATCGTTTTTCAATCGACATAGAATTCCATACTTCTTGGCAATTTTCTTGATGACATTGTCAATGTGAGAGTTGAACGTAAGTTTTTCATCAAAAATCACGCCAAGATATTTAATCTCCTGAACACGATCAATAGTCTCCTCGTCAAGTACAACAGAGACGTTCTCATTTAATCGATTCCGCGAAATTACCATAAATTTAGTTTTACTTGTATTCAATTTTAACTGCTTACACTTCAACCATCTACTTAGATACCGCAAATCTTCATTCAAGTGTGAGACGGCAACTTCTAAATCCTTAGCTGCAATGAATAACACAGTATCATCTGCAAAAAGATTAATGTCGCAAAACCGTAAAACATGTCGCAAGTCATTAATATACATAATAAATAAAAGGGGCCCTAATACACTTCCCTGGGGCACTCCAAGGTTGTTCCCCACGGGACTGGAAACAGAATCATTAAAAACAGTCCGTTGAGTTATGTCAGGCAAAACGCTTTCAAACCATTTATATGCAGTACTCGTAATTCCAAAGCGCTTGAATGATCTTAACAATAAGGGCCTAGAAATTGTTTCAAAAGCGCGTTTAAGATCCAAAAAATCAGCAACAATCGTATTTTTACGCTCCAACTTGTCTTTCCACTTTGCTAACACCAAATTCAATGCAGTTTCACAAGAATGACCTTCCCGATATCCCGATTGTTCTGGTATCAACAAAGAGTTGCTATTCAAATACTCCAACAGCTGGCCTTTAACAACAAGTTCTAAGATTTTCTCTAATGTGTGCAACATGTTGATGGGACGAAACTCTTCGGCTTTAATCGTTCCACTTTTTGAATAGGAACCACTAAGGATTCCTTCCAAATTTGTGGCACATGTCCAATTCTGCAATGATTTATTAATAAGGTCCAGAAAGATGTGGCCAATGACATGAAAGCAATCTTGAATAACTCTAGCATTAACATTATCTACTCCAGTCGATTTTCCTAATGAAAAACAAATAACTCTAAGTTCATCTAATGTAACTGGGTGAAAAACTTCAAATCTACAACTACTATTAACTTGCTGTTTTATTTCGTCAGGTTCATCGACCAATTCAATGGATTGATCAATCAATGAAACACAGTCTACGAAATAATTATTAAACTTAGCTGCAATTACCTGTTCTGACTGTTCTAATGTGCCATTAAAAGTTATGGACCACGGTTTGAAATTACTAGGTTTTAATAAAGATTTCAAAATTTTCCATAACTCTTTGCTGTTGTTTTGATTCTG